ATTTCTCATGGACAGTCCCCTTCTCTTGAGCAGTTTCAAGTGCATCCAAAAACTAGGGTCATGCACAGAGATACACACACACACACACACACACACACAAATATACAGACGCATGCTAACTCAGATATATCACAAGAAATTACAGGAAAGACATGGATCATTCACAAGTTCCTTTTAGTTTTGCTTTTTCTAATTTATCTTTTTCATGTTTTGGAAAGGATAATTAGACTAATGTATCTGAGAATTATGGTATTTGCACATTTGGGTAAGATTCAATCATGGAAAAGCAAGTTGTTAGGTAACATCAAGTATTTTCCACCTGTTTTTTAATTTTTCATTCATAGTCCACATGCTGAGTGAGAGCAGAGTCAGAACGGCCTCCTCTTCAGCACGGGCCTGATGAGCAGCCAGTATCAAAGACCTGCTGCTGGCCCATGCACACTCTTGAACCGAAAATAACTATCATGAAATAACTATGAAAGATGGCACTGGATGTGGTTATGGAACATGCCTTCTAATCCAAGGGAGAAACCAGGAAAAGACAAGAATGAAGTCAGATAGGAAAGTAGTAGGTGAATGCTATGCAGGACTGAATAAGTGGTTGACTTACATTCCAAAATAGTCTCTCATGAAAAAAAAACTAAAAATAATTCTATCTCACTTTGTTCTGATCTAGCTTCTCTCAGTGGTCTAAAATAAGATCTGTAACTTTTCCCCTTTACTCATCAAATACTGTATATGTATATAAGCAAATATATATATATATATATGTGTGTGTGTGTTTATATATGTATAGAATCAAGTAGGCGCAAAATATATTCATTTACTTATTCAACAAATATGTACTGAGCACCTACTCTGTGACGAGCACTGCTCAGATACCAGGGAAATAGCAGTGGACAAAAAGACAAAAATGTCTGCTCTTGTGGGAGTTATATTCTAGCACGAGGAGACAGACAATAAAAAAAAAGTAACAAGTAAATACACAGAATGTTACATGATTATAACTTGTGGATGACAATCAGGGAGGAAGGATAAAGTGTTTTGAAGGGCTGCAGTGCAAATATGGTAGTCATGGAAGACTTCATTGAGAAGCAAAGACTGCTGCAAAATCTGAAAGAATTAAGTGAGCAAGTCATCCAGATACTGAAGGGATATTCTTCTAAGCGGGAGTGACAATTGGTGCAAAGAGAATGTGCCTGGCATGGTCCACCATGGTCGGTGGAGCAAAGCACTCAATGAGGAGATGAAGTTAGATTACAGAAGGTCAGACTGCTGAGAGCCCGGTAGTGACTTTGGCTTTGCTCTGAGTAAAATGCAAAGTCAGTGGAGGATTCTGAACAGAGGAGTGAATAATCAACTTTTTAAAAATGGATCACCCTGGCTGCTATTCTGAGAACAGACTAAAGGTGAGAGATGGAGTGGAAGATAACAAGGAAGACTAGACAGGAGGTTACTGCTGTGATCGAAGCAAAGGATAATGATGTCTGAGACTAGGTTAGTGGCAGTGAGATAAGAAGGAATCAGGTTCTGAATATTTTGAAGACAAAGCTAACAGGATGTACTATAGACAAGATGTGAGAGGCATCAAGATTGACTCTAAAGACTGTGGCCTGAGCACCTAGAAAATGGAGTTTCCATATGTCCATGGAGATCAGAAAAAAACTGGCAAGAGCAAGTTAAGAGTGATGGGAAATACAGGGACTTCCCTGGTGGCACAGTGGTTAAGAATCTGCCTGCCAATGCAGGGGACACGGGTTCGAGCCCTGGTCCAGGAAGATCCCACATGCCACAGAGCAACTAAGCCTGTGCGCCACAACTACTAAGCCAGCGTGCCACAACTACTGAGGCCCGTGCGCCTAGAGCCCGTGCTCTGCAACAAGAGAAGCCACCGCCATGAGAAGCCCGAGCACCGCAACGAAGAGTAGCCCCCGCTTGCTGCAACTAGAGAAAGCCCGCGTGCAGCAACGAAGACCCAATGCAGCCAAAAATTAATTAATTAATTAATTTTTTAAAAAGCGATGGGAAATATAGACACCTTAATTTTGAGAGAACAATTAAACATTCAAGTTGAGATACTTCGATCTCGAGTTAAAAGGAGAGATCCAGGGCTTCCCTGGTGGCGCAGTGGTTGAGAGTCCGCCTGCCTATACAGGGGACACGGGTTTGTGCCCCGGTCCAGGAAGATCCCACGTGCCGCGGAGCGGCTGGGCCCGTGAGCCATGGCCGCTGAGCCTGCGTGTCCGGAGCCTGTGCTCCACAATGGGAGAGGCCCACGTGAGAGGCCCACATACTGCAAAAAAGAAAAAAAAAAAAGGAGAGATCCAGAGAGATATATAAATTCAGGTGCTTTTCAGCATATGGATGGTATTAAAATGACAAGAATGAATGAGATCACTCAGGAATTAGTGAGAACAGAAGAGAGAAGTGGCCTTGGGCCACTTCAAAATTAAGAAGTCAGGCAATGAAGAGGAACAAGCGATGGAAAATGAAAAGAAATGGCCAGTAAAGTAAAAGGAAAATCAGGCTTATTCTGGAAGACAAGCGAAAAATACACCAAGAAGGAAGCGATAATCAACTGTGTCTGACTTTCCTCATACTTCGGGTAAGAGGCAGATAGGGCACAGATCTTGGTTGTAATGACACCAGATCTTAGTGACGTAGACAAGAGCAGTCTCTGAAGTACCGAAAGCACGAGCTTGATACAGGATGAGATGGGAAACTGAAGACAGCGAGCACAGTTGACTATTCCATGGAGATTTACCACTTAAAAAAAAGGGGGAAAAATGGGGCAGTAGTTGAAGAGGGGTAGTGAGATCAAGAGATCTCATTTTTTTTCATGGGAAAGGAACAGTAAGGACTTGATCCTATTTACATGCTGATGGAAAAGATCATGCTAGCAAGGGGAAAATTCCAGAGAGAGGAGAATCACGGGTGCAATATCTTTCTGCAAGGGGAGGAGTTGACCCTGGACTTGAACATGGACCATTCCTCTGTGGTAACAGGAGACAAAGTAGAATATGTAGTGGGCACAGAAGTCGGGTGTGTGAGGGAATGAGTTTGCAGAAATTCTCCTCTAGTTGCCTCTGTTTTCTCAGTAAAATGGGAGACAAGATCTTCACGTGATAGTAAAGATTCAAAGAATAAAACTCACAACATAATTCAAGTGAAAAAACAAAAATACCGTCCAGAGAGAAAGGGCCGAGACGTGCTGGTATCCTGCCATCTCTTTACAGACAAACATCTGCACAGGGTTCAGGACAGGACAAGAATGTGCTGACGTACGCGGAGTCTCGACCGGGCACACGCCACGTAGGGGTGCGGAGAGCCATGCACTTACAGATGCACTTAAAGGAAGTGAAACTCAGTCAAGTCAGATCTGGCTGTTACTTCTGCCTCCAGTTTTGGCCAGACTCGGCCATTGCTGCCAATCGGTTTCAGTTTTACACACCAAAAAGTTCTTCATGCACTTAAACTTGGTTATTTGGTGGAGGTGGGGGGCGCGGGGGAAGGACAGGTAGAAGCAGGGGACATGAGGAGTGGAGAGGTATGTATTTTGATTGTTTGTATTAAATTGGGAGAAATCCCAGTTTTCTAGGTATTTATATTTCTGTTGCAAAGTCATCAGTGCCCTTTTCCACAAAATTTTTTCTATTTCAAAATTGACCTAAAGGTGACTATTTTTATACAGACTGGAATTCTCTCATATTTTAGTGGAATTTAAGTCTTGATACATTATTTTTTGAATTAGAGTGAAAGAAGTAGTATATGAACACAACACAAAGATTTGCTCTGAATGAAATAAGTCACAAGATTTAGTGAAAACTATATATAGCTTATCATTCCATGTTATATATAATTAACTACAGAGGTTATATCTGGGACTCTGTCATCAATTCCCAATGCTTATTCATTCATTCAACAAACATTTTTTAAGTACCTACTATGTGTCAGGCACGCAGTATACAGCAGTGAAAAAGAAAAGATAAAGATCCTTGCCTTCATGAAGCTTATTATGTTCAAGAGGGAGAAAAACAGATAATAGACAATTAACTTAATAAATAAGAAAAAAATTCATATGTAAGAAGTTCATAAGTACAAATGCGGAAAAAAATACAGCAGAGTCAGGTAGAAGGGGAGCTCGTTTGCAATATAAATGGTGCAGTCAAAGCAAGTCTCAATGAAAGTTAACACCAGGACAGAGACTAGAAAAAACTGAGGGCGTGAGTCACATCAGCTCACTGGGGCAAAGAGTCAGGCAGAGGGAACAGCAAGTACAAAGGCCTGGAGGGGAGAAGGTGCAGGCGAGTTTACAGAAGTGTGAGGGGTCAAAGTGAGGGTGGTGGGTGACCAGAGGAACAGCAGAAGATAGAACTGGCTACATAATTTGTAGGGCCCAGTATAACATGAAAATCGGGGGTCCCTTGTTCAAAATTTCAAGATGGCTCTGGCAGATCCTTCAACCATGCACTGGGACCCTATGAGCACGGGTCACACATCCACAAAGCCAGCTTTGGCAGGAGATGAGGTCAGATCAAACAGGTAAGAAAGTGAGGGAACATATCTGAAGGGCCTTCCAGGCCCTTGTAAGAACTTTGACTTTTACTCTGAGCGAAATGATGCATCATTGGAGGGTTTTAACCAATCAAACTTACAGCATCTGCGTTGAAATTAGTCAGAGGGGCCCAAAGAAGAAACAGGAGATTAGACAAGAGACTGCTGCAATACTCCAGGTGAGAGATGACAGGGGCTTGGTCCAAAGATAATATTTGCAGAGGTAATAAGAAGTACCAGACTCTGGATACATCCTGAAGATGAAACTCATAGATTAGTGATGGGTTTAATGTAGGGAGAGAGAAAAATTTCAAGAAGAATGAAGAATGACCCCAAGGTTTTTGCCCTGAGGAACAGAAAAATGGGAGTTGCCCTGAGTTTAGACAAGGAGGTCTAGCCAGATGCGGAGGTGGTGGAGAGGGGACAACCAGGAGGCCAGTTCTCACCCAGGCGTCTGAGATGGCTCTTAGACACTCAGGTAGTGGAGACGGGGACCTGGCAGTTGGCTTCATGAGTGTGAGGCTCGGGAGAGTGGTCAGCCTGGAGGTATAAATGTGAAAGTGATCAGAAAAGCTGTAATTCTGCAGTGCAGCTAAAAGTGAAGGTCTCAACGGATCTAGATTCTCCAAAAGTTCTAGACTAATCAAAATTCTTCTTTGTGTGCCACACTGATCTTGGCTAATGACACTTGCACTGTAATATTTACTTTTTACTCCATTCCCCTTTGATTGAAGTCTTTCTTTCTTCTTTTTTTTTTTTTTTCTCATTTAACAGCTAAAACTGAACACCAAGGAGTTTGAAATGTGACTAAGAAGTTGGGGGAACACTGTTTCTAAATATCACAATTAGTTTTGTGCACCAGCAGTAGACTTTGATTCTGGAACAGACTATTTTTTAATCTCCACAATGACCCTTCTGTTACATCAATGTAAAGAAATATTCATCTATTACATCTGCAATGTCATCATTAATCTAATGTAGATAATACGTTTTCTGGAATAAATATAATAAATATTTGGGAAAGTTGACCTGTAGGTTGAGCAGAGGTTGCATATTACTTACGCTTGTCCATGGAGAAAAGAACTGTCCAGGGATGTAAAGGACCAGCAGTGGACTGCGTCTGGACTTTTGCTAGTACCTGGTGAGAGAGTTAGGTTTTTTGTTAGTTTTAGGAATTGCTTGTAGGAAATACGGAACAGAAGGGGCAGCCGTTACTGAGACGCTATGAATCTCTGCTTTCAAGCAACGCTGTGGTATGGGGGTAGGGGTCGTTCAAAGGAGGCAAGAAATTGGAGAGAACCTGTTCTGAACCAAATCCACAGCTCCAGCGTGTCTTCCCAGGAAGACGGGGCGCAGCAGTTTTAAGAGAATCTGGACGCGTCTCCCTTAGCAGGACCCCTATCACCCCCGGAGAGGCGCCCTCAAGAGAGGGGCCTGGGGAAGGGGGTGTAAAGACAGGAAACCAGGCAGGTGGGGCAGTGCAAGACAGAGAAGGAGAGGAGGGGACACGTGGCAATTTATGTGAGGCACCCCTTTCAGGAGTGCAGAAATAATTTGGAAATGTCTTACAGAAGAGGAGGGATATTCAGTCATTACAGCAAAAGACAGTCAGGGTCACTGTAATTGAGCTCACTGTTTACTGACACCATTTTTACCCCCAGCCTGATAAAAGATGCGTGTACAGATATATATTCTAGTTCCAAACAGGGCATTAGGTGCTGGCTTCTCTGAAATGAGTTCTCCTCCAATGAGGTCTGCTAGCCACAGCGAAGTCATGCAGGCCCGCTTCATTTCTCTAAGCTGAGTGAGGTGTACCCTTATTCTTTCCAATCTTCTCCCTGATTTCCTTTTTCCTTCCCTCTGTCTCAGTGGGAGAGATGAGTAGGAAGTGGAATCCTAAATTAGGAGGTTGGGATTAAGATATACACACCACTATATATAAAATAGATGATCAACAAGGACCTACTGTGTAGCCCAGGGAACTCTACCCAATATTCTGTAATAACCTATATGGGAAAAGAATCTGAAAAGGAATAGGTATCTGTATATGTATAACTGAACCGCTTTGCTGTACACCTGAAACTAACACACACCATAAATCAACTACACTCCAACATAAAATAAAAATTAAATTAAATTTGAAAACCTGAATACAGTTTCCCATTGCTTATTATAAATAGAAATGCAGTGATCCTTACTGTGCAATATCCCTCACTCCACTTTCATACTTCAACTAGATGAGGAAAACCTAGAGATGTTACTATTCAGTAACTCGGTATAATATGGGTTATAATAATGTTTGTAGTGCTTATAAGTTCAATATGAAATAGAGCTTTTCTCCCCCTGCAGTTTACATTCAGTGTGTTCTCAGGTTTGAAGATAGCCTCTACTGGGGGTTATATGAAGGGGTAGGAAAAGGTGAATTGACCCTAACACACAAACAGAAGAGGAAATATGTCTCCTTTTCCTATCTTTAAACATATAAGTATGTTCTGCAGTTTCAAACTGGATACAACATGACTAATTACTTTATCTGACAACAAAACTCTAAAAATATATGTAAAAAAAACATTTAGCTTTGTAATCCGAAAAGAGCAAAAATATTTTAGGATTAGATCATGTATGTTAGGTAATTTTGTCATTCTGGTAAGTCATATAAAATAGCGTTTCTCACCCTGGGCACTACAGACACCGGGGCTGGATGCTTTTTCACCGAGGGAGGCCATCCTATGCGGTAGAGCACGTGGACCGCCATCCCTGGCCTCTAACCAACCATGACAAGACTTCGGCACCTGCGCACCCCCCCCCAGCCCAGTCATGACGACCAAAAGTATCTCTTAAAGTGGCTAAATGTCCCCTGGGTGGCAAAATCACCCCTGGCGGAGAAGCACTGACACAGAATCTATTACTATACAACTAGAATAGAGACAAATTAATTTTCATAATATAGTTTGTAATTCTTTCATTCTGAGCAAGCATTTTGAAGTCATCAACCAAGGGAAGATGGCAAAGCTTTGCCAGAAGGATAATGTAAAACATCATCTCTTCCCAAACCATCAAATGACACCGTCACTTGCTGAAGCAAACAAACGATCGGTTATCTCTGTGTCATAGTCCTGCTATTCACAGATGACACAGTTGACTAATCTACTTCCTTCTTCAAAAATGCAACAGCCTAGAAACAGCAAGTATCAGTTGTTTTTTGTCCACCTAGTAGGATCTATGTCTCACTAAGCTGGGCAATAGGCAGGAAGGCCACAGAACCGTGCTGGAGAAGCTTGTTGGGTTTTAATCTGCTTACTGATAATGGCTTGACTTGAAGTACACTTTACCACGGGTATCTTTTAAAACAATTACTTTTCATGTCTGACATTTAAGAAGCTCTACGATAACTGCTTAGATTTCCATTGCATGGGGGAGAGGCAATGGTTAGAAACTTTGAAATGACTGCATTATAAATAAATCTAGGCCATGTTTTTTCATATTTATCTATTATTCTTGTTTGCTCTTTGATGAAAAGCTAAAGTTGTACAGCATTCATGTGTACACCGTTTCTTATGAGGAATGTAATGAGAATCTCTGTAGCAAAGCCTATTTTCAAGACTGGATGAACGAGCCACTTATTTCAAGCAATATTTGGTGCAAGATAATACCAGCGATGTCACGGAACTTGATTAGTTCTTACAGTTTATTATGTTTATTCTTGATTGAGGTTGACCTTTGATCCCGTTTTGCTGACTTTCTTCCATTGTGTATCAAAGGCCTTAAGAAGAAGAAAGGAAAACTGAGCAGTTTGATGTTTGAAAAAAATTCTATGACGTTTCATTCAACAGATATTTTTAAACTTCTTCTACTTATTTTACTTTTTTCTAGACCTCCCACACTTTTAAAGGAGTTTTCCAGACAAGAATATCCAGGTGGTGCCATGTCTAAAAACACTGACGAAAAGAGGAAAAATCTTATTAAAATTTGTTCCCATGCTGTTTTAATGAGGAACCAACACGAAAAGAGGGAACACATTCTTCCTCTCCTCCTCGGCAGGGAAGACGAGAAAATAGAAAAGCAGAGTGAAGTGGAAACTTTCTACTGGTAGGGTAACTTATCCAGATAATGACACAGACACATTTCCCTGCATTTTGCAAAGTAAAACTTCATTCTTTTGAAAGTTTTCAATTTTTTAATTTGAATTTCTCGGTGCGGGTGAAAAGATTTTTGAGAAATGTTTTTCCCTCTTTAATTTAAAAAATAATATTCAATAGCAACTGACTGAAGAGAGGAGAGAAAAAAGGAAAGAAAACAAGAGAAGCCACAAAGCCCCAGCTGTGCTTAGTTCCTGTTCATTCAGGGCAGCTCATGACGCAGGCTTGCTGTAGTTTGAATTCACATATTAGAAATCATTCAGAGAGGAAACTGGCTTTGGCATAATCTACAGAAGAAAATAGCATTCACAGAACTGTTATTCAAAAAGAAGCACAGAGCTGTACTTCTTGTTTAAATGTAACTAACCTTAGCTAGCTGTAACAGGGAGGAAAAATAGGTGTATTTTGTGGTGGGTAGTTTCTGACATAAAATTTTAAACAAAGTTTCATAAACAATTATTGGAATCCGAGAAAGAATCAAACCTTGAAGCCCAAGTAGCTGAGGGTTTGGGGTCTCCCTGTTCGAAACAAGGGAGCTGGAAGAGGGAGGCTTGCTTTGCTTTGGGGACTTCCCGAAGTTGTTTATCTCCAACCACACCTCTGGGCTGAGCCTGAAAGCAACTCTGTAACATCAATATCATAGTTGAGATCCCAAGGCTACCAAGTTCTTTCCTCAGGCCTGCCCCGCACTAGGCCCTGTCCGGCCTGCTGTGCGTTTCCTTGTTAGGGTCTGCAAGACTCTCCCTGGACTGAAGTTGCTTTGAAGTGAGACCTTGTATCTCCACCTAGGATCTAATTTAGTGCAATAAAGAATATTCACTTATTAAAGACACCCATGCCATTCTTTTACACTAGAAGCTTACATTTCAGAACTATGAAGATGGTTTCTAGCTGCCATAATTTCATGGCATTAGACCGCTGTATGTCCCATACCACTGCTCTGTTCATAATATTTAGACAGTTCCATAGCAACACATAAAATACGACCTCCAGAGGTCTGCATTCCTCCAGCCCTGTGTGAAGGATTAGAGAAGTTTCTGAGAAAAGCAGCCATATTACAGAGCACTGCATCTGAATTGCTCCCTTTATGGTAGGAATTGCAGAAACCTGGAGCAGAAACACATCCTAGGATTTTATATTCAGTTCTAGAAATGTCCCCCGTTCTTATAGTTTTCTGGTTTTATTTATAAGGCATCAAGAAATCCTCTTATTCAATTCTGGAAAGAGCTAAAAAAATTTGACTACTTTATAGTTAATCTTCTTTCTCTTTCCACACTAGAAAAATAGATTATCGTCTTTTTATTATCTAAAATGTTTTGTATAAAAGTATTAGTGGAGATGACAGAGATGCAAATATCTTTCTAAGACCTGGTTCTCTTTCCATATGCTTCTTGAAATTTGGAAGTAAATTTCTCATTGTGGCTTGCTCTTGACCCAGATAACAAAAATTTACTTTATTATGCTATCCATTTGCATTAAAATAGGTTTTCTACAGTGTCCAGCACAGAGGTTTTCTATTTTATGTTTAGCAGCTTAAAACAACAAACGTTTCTTTTCTCAGAGCTTCTCCAGAAGTAGCTTAGCTGGTGATTCTGTCTCAGGGTCTCTCATGAGGTTGTGGTCAAGCTGTTTGCTGGGGCTACATTCATCATTTTTTATATTCTTGGCTTTGTTACATAATGTTCAACAGATCCTCTCTCTCCTCTCTTCTTTTTGAGTTTAAATTCTCTGTGCCCTTTGTCATTAAGGTATCATCAACATCTGTCTGGCTGGAGTATTTTGTCCTCACCTGCTCTCCCCGGGAAGCAGGACCGTTGGTTGAAATAATTCCCATGTTTCATTGATCAGGAAAGAGCCCTGAATCAGGCCCAGTTGTCAGGCTAGGGCACAGGGACCCCTCAAAGCCCCTGGGCTGCTATCAGTGTCAGCTGGGCAGAGCCAGTTCTGATGGAACACAGAAACAGAACATTCAATTCTGGTATTTTCTAGGAGACGGGCAC